CTTTAAAAGACTTTCTCCACTGGTAAACTATGTAAATGTTTTTGTTTCCTTCTAGAATTTTTATAGTTTCATCTTCCCATTTTACTTTTTCATCTGGAATTTGTTTAGATTTAAGGTGTGAGATAAAAATGAACTTAATTGTTTTTCCAAGTGCTTAGCCAGTTGTCTCAACATCATTGTTTGAATAATACACTGCCCCCCTCCCTGATTAGAAAGATTGCTTTATTTTATGCTAAACTAACATAAGTGTTTGGCTCTGTTTATGGACTTTGCTTTTCCTGTTCCAATGCTTAGTTTGCCTTTTGTGGCACCAGCCACGCATTGTTTCATTTACTTTGTATACATCTTAAAATTGGCCAGGGCTTTTGTATACATCTTAAAATTGGCTAGGGCAAGTTTCCATATTTTTCTTGGCTATTCTTATATGTTTATTCTTACATATAAACTTTAGAATTATTTTGTTGACTTTCAATACAATCCTATTGGATTGTACTAAAAGTAAATATTAATTGGAAGACAATTGATGTTTTTATAATAGCTGCTGCTCCATTTAATAATAGTGATAATGATAATAATAAATTAATACCAGTAGCCAACATTGATAGTTTGCTGTGTATCAGGTTCTGGTCTCTGCCCCACTTCCCACATTAAACCTCTTAACAATACACAATAGAGTTGCTATTATTTCCTTATTATTAGAGAAATTAAGGCATGAAGATGTTTAATTATATACCAGGGTCACACAGCTTTAAGACAGAGCTAGGATTCTTTTCCTAGTTGGTTTGGTTCCAGTGTTTATACTTGTGTGTAGTATTTTTGCCATAAGCATGTTTGCTATAGACATCTTTGTTGCAAACATTAATTGACCTATGGCAATTTCACCAGAAAAGATAAAATAATGAAAAATTAAAAAAGACATAATAAAAATTTACTAACAAAATAAAAAAGACTTTACTGTGAAAAATGAAAATATATTGTCTTTGAAGTCTTTTTTCACAATGTTATACATTTTTTGTTTGTTGTTTTGCCTTCTTGTTTGGTATAGAGTTCTTCTTTTTTTGCTGCAATTTCTTACTTCATTAAGAAAGATATGAGTTGTAAACAAAATAGTTGATTTTAACATCTTAAAGACTGTGAATTAGTAGCTGCCTCTTTTATATTTGCCGTAGCTTGGCAAACTTTTGATGGATGGTAGAGATGACTGTGCTCCCCGAAGTATTTCCAAACTGATGTGTGATCATTTTCTAGAATAGTATGCAATCTGGCTTCATAGTAGTTGTTATTGTTCATTATTTTAAGGCCAGGTGTACTCGTCACTGGATAGACCTTTAGGAGGGCTAAGGTTTAGACATAATACAACAGTGGGAGTAACTGCAAGAACTTCACCAATGGACAAATGAAACTAAGTGACAAGTAGCTTAAACACATTAAGTCTGTCAGATGCACATTAAACTATCAGCCAGATCTTTTATCTTTTACAGCAAAATTGCCTTATTGCCAATTAGTTGTGCAGCGAAGATGTTTGCAGTGAAAATGCTTCTGGTCAAGATATTTATGACAATACAGACAACAGGGGGGGGGGCGGGGAGGAGGCTGTGAAGGCCTGAGGGGAGGGATACAGAGGGTAATGGGGGAATAAGCACACATACGTAACACCATAGTCAATAAAGAAATTAAAAAAAAAAGATGTTTATGACAAAGATGCTTATGGCTAAAATACCTGGACCCATATCAGATATTGGCCATCTGTCCCTTAATGTCTGGTAAAATATGGATGAAAAAAATCTGGGTCTGGTGCTTTGGTTGGGGGTGGGGTATGATTTCCTCATCTCTCTCTTCCAGTTCATGCATTTCATCTTCATCTGTGTCTAATCACTCTGCTTAATTCATCCCTGAAGTTTTATTCCAGTGATTAAACTTTTCCAGTTCTAGAATTTACACCATGCTCTTCTGCAAATCTGCCTTTGTTGAACATTCTTCCCTTTCGGTATATGTTTGATCTCTTTACACACTTTAAATATATTTATTATCTATTCTTCAAATTGTTCTCTGGTTCTCTTTCTTTGCTTGCTCTCCTTTCTTTCATTCATCTTCGTATTGTTTGCCACTTAGTACTGTGAGCCCATCTTCAGAGGGGATGTTGACTGCAGGAATGCTGTAGGTGGGGTTGAATGTTCATTGCCTCTGCCAGGGCCACAGGGATCAGGATGGTTATGGACACATTTTGGGTGGTATAATATCTTTATTCTCTTGCCTTGAGTCACTGAGAGCTTTTCCAACCCCCATTTAATGTGTGGTGCAGCTCTTTGGAGCCTAATTTCTGTAGGGGGGCTTTGCTCTTGCTCACTGCCAGGCATAGGCTGGGGTTCTGTGTTTGGATCAGTATCAGGAGAATGACCTGCAAAGCCCCAGGCCTGGAGCCCACACAGCTTAACTTTCTGCTTAGATTTTGCATTCCATTTTTGTTTCCTTTACATAAGGGTTTCCTCCTCATTCCTTTGAACAAGGTCACATGTTACAATTTTTAAAACCATATTTTATCCAGAATTTCTGGACTTATTATATCAATCACAAGTCCAGAAATTGTTTTAGATTTCTAAGTGGTTGATTCATTGATTTTATTTTTATGTAAAGGCAAGGAAAGTGGGCAGAAGTAGGTATTACCTTATGGTTTTTATTTTGTTTATATTTAACATCTAAGAATATATTTTACATTTTTGGCATTAATATGTTGGCATTTTATTTGTGTCTTAGTATAATAAATGTATAAGAATGTTCATAGCCTTTTAAAAAGGTATATGTATCTTTCATTTTTTATTACTCATTTAAATACTCAGAAAGTCACACTAATATCTCCCACTATAAATATTATTTTCAACTTGTTCTTTTATGTTTAACAGTTTTGCTTCACATAATCTGCTACTTATTATTTGTTGATGACTCTGAGGCCTGTATCATGTTTGAACAGGCCAGAGAGCCTCAAAAGCCTTACCTTCATCATTGAGCCTTTAATTAATCTTTTTCTGATTAACAACATATTATTATTATAAAACAATGCAGCATTTAGGAGAAAATCTAGAAAGAGGAAATATATACTATAAAAATGAAAATAGATAAAACTTTAAAACTTGGGCTATTGAGGTAGAAAAGGAGAATAGGAAAAGTAAAGGAAAGGAACATAAACTTATTTTACAGTGACAACTCAACAGACTTACATTTGTAAGGTTGATAGAAAAATGTAGATTGAATATGCTGCATTTAAAAACTTACTTACTTTTTTTGTCCTTCATAGTTTTTGTTCACTTTATTAAGGAATGGGCCAATTAATAAGTAAAGGACAGGTATTTTTCAAATTCTAATACTTCCCCCTTAGTTATTTTAAATAACCACATATGAGTATAGGGGTGTTGCTTGCAGCATATAACGTGATGGAGTCACTGCCCTCCTCTTCTCCAAACTTTCAGCACTGTGCTGGAGGCACGGTTAGCTTTGTGGTTTAAGCCAAATCCCTATCCCCACAGCCTTTATTTAATTTTTTTTTTATATGAATGAGGTAGCGGGCTATGCAGGTGTTAGGAAGGGAAGAGCGAGAAAGAGGATAAGCTGATTTCCCAAGAAATAAAATTCCATGGAGAAACTGGAAAACAGGCTTTCAAAACGTCACTCTGCAAATCCATAGAGAATTTGCATTTCGTGTCATCCTAATGCAGGAGCCCTGTGTCACCTTTCAAGCAAAGGCAACACTGTCCCCATTCCCAGTCACCTTCAGAGAGAGGTTGTTCCAAAGGCTCTTGCGCATCTGGGAAGTCTGGAAGGCATTGATGCGTGGGTTTGAGATGTTGGTTAAGGAGAGAGGGAAGGCAGACTTGAGTGACATCGCCATGGAAAGGGAGAAAAGAGGAAGAACTCTATAGGGGACGCACATCCAACTTTCACACTGTGTCTGCTCAGGGATATTTCAAAATGTTGTCCAACAGCAAATATTTTTTTGAGATATGAAAGTATTTCCAAGTCTTAAGAAAACTCACTGAATGTTTCAAATGTTTGGAATTATTCCAAGGCCAGGAATTCCAGATGTTTGTAAGGAAGCCATTGCATATCTCTGTTTAAATATTCAAGCGGGTTTTAAGATGGTAAGGAGAAAAAACAAGGCATACCTTTCAATTCTTCCTTTTTAAAAACAGGACAGTGCCTACTCAATAAGGCGAACAGGAGGACAGAATAGTGTGGATGTGTCCCTCCCCTCCCCCCACCTCCCCGGCCCCCATTCTCTTTCTACCACCCAGGGCTGTTGTGGCAAAAAGATGCCAAACATTTGAAAGGACATGGCACTGTGGAAAATGCAACCTATTTTTACTGTTCATCACTGCAGATGCTGAATAATAATTAACTGTGGGATGGATGCCAGGTGCAAATAATAACCAGGCTTCCTGGACATCTGTCCTCCCACAGTCAGTCTTTAAATTAAGAACTTGCCTGCTACACATGTCTTGGGAGAGTGCCAATGTTATGATAATTCATTTTTTTTCTTGCATGCAATGCACTTAGTTTTGCTTTCATATTCCTGTAGTTCATGTCAGATATTCACCATGATGAGTTTCTTGGCAACTCCAAGCAAGAATCCTCCAGACTGAAAAAAGTTCCAGCATCGACACATGCAGACCTTACAGTTTGGCTTTTGGTTCATCCCAAATGAATAAATTTAGACTCTCTGTGTTTCACTCTTATGCTTGAGAGACCCTCATACTTGGCTAAGGACTGTCAAGCTTCCTGTCCCCTCACCAATCAGCGCCACCGTGGACGACCAGGAAGGGGTAACTCAGTGCACGTGTGGGTGTGCCTCCCAGGATGAGAACCAGGGTGTGGTAGGGGCTTGCCATGCGCTTCCTGCAGAGAAGACCCTCCTCTGCACGGTTTCCCGAGCGAGGCCTTGCTGGAAGTGGGGCTGGCGTTCCCTTCCCCGAGAGGCTGAAGAAGCCCACCCACTCCCAAGCACTTACTGAGCGTGACCGACTCGTTGATCTTGAAGCTGCAGAGGACCCGGTCCACGTTGCGTGCGTGTCGAAAGCCATTTCCTCTCACGACTACTTGAAATGACTCTGAAATCAAGAGCAACGACAAGACTCGTTATTTGACGGCAGGCCATTAGCCTTGGGCTTCCCATCTTCTCTGATTTAGGATGTTTGTTCATGACTTTAGCAGGCTTCCCATATTTGAAAATTGGTTCAACATGGAAACCAAAAGTGACCTTGTAGGTGCCTTTTATCACTTACAAGGCATCCCCAAGGAAGACGTCTTACTTTGAATTCTCCCCTTCTTGCCTTCGCTCGCGTTGTTCCTTCTCCCTGCAGTGCCCTCCTCCCGTCTCTGTCATTCAAATCTTCCCCATCCCTCAAATCCTTGCAACTTTGAAAACTGTGATCTCAGCAGCTGAGGGCCACCGGGGAAGGACGGGCTCTCCATTTCATCAACTCTTATTTTCGTGTCTCTTTTACACACTGGATGCCCCTGTAAAGGATTTCTTTAGAGCTCAAGGTGCCGAACATTTTTTGAAAACTACTGACGTATGGCATTGGCATACCCAGTCTGTCCTGAACAATGTAGCATGTGATTATGTGCTATTGTTCCTTGCCTTTTCTTCTACAACTAGAAATATCTTCCTGTTGGTGGAGAATTGTTTTGTTTTGTTTTTTAAATATATTTTATTGATTTTTTTACAGAGAGGAATAGAGAGGGATAGAGAGTTAGAAACATTGATGAGAGAGAATCATCGATCAGCTGCCTCTTGCACACCTCCAACTGGGGATGTGCCCGCAACCAAGGTACATGCCCTTGACCGGAATCGAACCCTGGACCTTTCAGTCTGCAAGCTGAGCCAAACCGGTTTTGGCTGGTGGAGAATTGTTTGATACTGCTTTGGCCCTCCTGCCTCTGATGGGCATACAGCACTGATGCCTCGTGGTGTGCCGTGGTAATTATAGTTAGCAAAACATCAAAGACTTGCTTATCGGTGACCAGTTGTCAAGCATTACCTGTTTGAATTGATGCTGGCCCCTTACTGTAGTTAGTACTCACTTCTCTCTGAATAGAATAGAGAATACATGTCACAGGTCTCTGGCCTTACATGTTAACTTCACATGTGAATAATGCATGTCGAATCAATTCATGGTAAAAAATCCTTATGAAGTAAAAAATAATGACCTGTTTGCATTAGTCTTGCTGTGGATGATGGAGGGAGGAAACAGCTCTTGCCAATTAATTAGTTAAATGTTTAGGAATAGTTGCTTAAGTTTGATGGTAGCTGATAGTCAATGCTCCACTTTCTTTTTGTCATCCTACGGTGTGTAAAAAAACTGGGGCGTGGGATAATGCTGCGTGGCATATTAAAAAAGAACTCAACTAAAAGTCATAGGAAAAAAATGCAATATTTGCGAAAGTGGATCTTAAACTGTACATTGCTATCCAAGTAGCGATTTTTGTTGGAGGAAGAATGGAATTAGAAGACTAGCATGCGGGAGTGTTCCAAACTTTAATAAATGTTATGTGTATACGCCACTTTAATTCCTAGGAAACTAATTTAGAGATGGATGATGTTTGCCAAGAGAATAATAACGGGTGTAATTGCTCCCTCAGTATGTGCCAGGCCCCATGCTCAGCATTGTATGTGTCTGAGGTCACTTAAACCTCCCCACAGCCCAGGGAGGTACAAGTGAGGAAATTGAGGTTGGTGAGGTTAAGTCACCCGTCCCAGGTCACACAGCCAGTAGTTGTCAGAATCAGAACCAGAATCCAACGCCATGTCCGCACTCTGCTCTTTACCACTCGGCGAAACTGCACCCTCATTGTCTTGTGACATATGACTAAGCTAGAGATTGATGTTGTGATTTTTTTGAAAGCTTATTTTAGGCAGGCTTGCCCATTTTGCAAAGAAGTGGAGCTGGCCTGGATGGAAAGCAAGAAACCAAAACTGAAGTAAAAGAACCCAGAGGCACTGCGTGTGCCACAAAGAGCACAAGTCAGAACAGAATGCCTTTTACGAGTATAATGAACCATGACAATAAGGAACTTGATAGTCTGACATTTTACATGACTTGCCCAAGGTCATGTAATTAGTAAGCAGCAAAACTGGGACTTGGATCCAAGGGTTCGCTGCCTCGTTTGAAAGTATTTTAATTAAAGTCACGGGCACATGATTTTCCAGAATCCTAAGTCCTACGAATATGAAGTATTGACACATGCATGTCAGTGCATGTACACATTTGCTAAGTTTAGAAGGATGGATTTAACAGTTTTCTTTAGATGTCTGCCTGGCACGTGACTTATGATGGCGTTGGTTCAAAAAACATTGAGGAAGAACCTTGTTGTATCTTAGTTACTCAAATTAAACCCATAGAAACCTATTTCTGGTTTTAGTTTGAATGCTGGCCTTCCAAAAATCTGCCGTTGGATGCTTTTGTTGATTCAGCAGGTTTTCTGCCTCATTTGGGTGCCTCATTTGTTTTCTCCAAGATCAGGAGAGAAAGGAGACCCTGGCAATGCAGGCTGCACGCCAAGGTCTCCTCTCTAACAACATAACATGTCCCAGCTCCGCTGCCGAATCCTCTGTAAAAGAGGCTTGCCCACATGTCTGCTTGGCCCGACCTCACGGTGTTTAGGAAAAAGACAAAGGCAATCCATGACGTAACAATGGTAGAAACCCAACAATTTAACCTCCTGGGCCGGAGGAGATGGAGGAAGGGATGCTCTGGGCAACACAGAAGGAGAGAAGCGAGCTCCCACCCGCCGGTGCAGGTTCTGTGCTAGTGCGCACATGTGGTTTCCAGAAGAGCTCAAACATCTGACTCAGCAGCTCGACCAGAATGTCAGCGCTTCACACACAAACGTTATGTAACAAAACTCCGTCAAATGAATGCGCCAGCAAGTGAGCACCAGGGCTTAGCGATTTAACTCCATGTATCCACACAGCCCTGAACCTACTCTTCAAAGTATGTACAGCTGAGTGTTTGCAGGCAACGTGCACATTGGGTTACAGCTCTTAGGAAGTGCTTAGGGATTGTAGGGCTTCAGGAAGAAATTTCTACTTGAAAATGATCTTGGATCTAATATCTTAAGATACAGGTTTTTAAGGTATCTTTAAGACATATGTTCATTATGATTTTTGTCATTCTTCTTAATCTTAATTATCATTGTTTAAGTTTCATGATGGTAGAAGCCATCATTTCTATTTCTTCAGAAGTTTTGACCACGTCTAACTCAGGGCTGAGTCAGTCTCAGTATAAACTTATTGAATGACTAATAAATGACATCTTGGCTTAGAAAGGGAATAAAGAGGAAAGACAAGGTGGTCCTTTATTCAGGTACCAGCCAGGTCTCATCCTGTTTATTTTCTGAGGATTTATAAGACCATGAAGACATCATTAGTTGTTAGGGAAATGCAAATCAAAACCACAAGGAAATAGCACTCCATACTCACTAGAATGGCTATCATAAAAGAAATGGACAACAGCAAGTGTTGATGGAGAAATTAGAAACCTCATACATTCTATGGTGTATGTGCTTTGTCAAATAGTTTGGTAGCTCCTCAAAAAATTAAACATAGAGTTACCTTATGACACAGGAATTCTACCCCTAGGTATCTATATCCAAGAGAACTGAAATGTATGTCTACACAAAAACCTGTACATGTTCATATTATTCATAATAGCCAAAAATGGAAACAATCCAAATATTTATCGACTGACTGACGACGCTATTCTCACGAGGGAATATTATTCACCCATGAAGTTTCAAGACCAGTTAAGACATGGACGAATCTTGAAAACATTATGTTAAGTGAAAGAAGCCAGACACAAAAGGCCATATATTGTATTATTCCACTTATTAAAAAAAAATCCAGATTAGCAAATCCATAGAGACATAAAATAGATTGGTGTTACCAATACTGGAGGAAGCGGGGAACAGGTAGCGACTACTTTGGGTTTCTTTTTGGGGGTGATGGAAATATTCTGGAATTAGTAGTTATGCTCATAACTTTATGAATATATTAAAAACCATTAAATTGTACTTTTTACAGTGGTGAATTTTATGGTATGTGAATCTTAGCTCAATTAAAAAAAAAAGGTCAGTGAATAGTTTGATAAACTTATTCCACTCTGGCCTTTTGTATATTTTCTTTCTGTGAAATGTGGAACACATAAATTGGAAATGACCTTAATAAAGACTGACTTTCATTCACTGTATCTGAAAATGAGACACTTCTATAGTCTCCTTTTGTGCTGGTCTCCCAAGACTTTCTTGTGAAATTGTTGTTAATTATATGTCATCTTGTGGGTCAGTTTACTTTGCTCTCCTATTCGATGCTTAATGTGGCATCTAAAAGATAACGTAGTGACTAAATTGTTCTAGAACTCTTAAAATTCTATAGCTATTTATTTATTTATAACAGCTTTGGTGAGGTGTCACTGACATAATAACTCGCATGCAAGGTATAGAACTTGAAAAATTTTGACATATGTACACAATCATGGAACAATTCCACAGTCAAAGTAGTGACCACACCCATTACCTCAAATGTTTCCAGGTGCCCTTTGTAAGCTCTCCCTCTGCTCCTCCCTACCACCACTCCCAAGCAACCACTGATCAGATCTCTATTATAGATTGTTTGCATTTTCTAGAATATTATGTAAATGAGCTCATACAGGAATAATTTTTTTTGTCTAACTTCTTTTTATGTGGCATAATTATCTTAAGACTTATTCAAGATTATTTTGATATTTATGCATAGTCTAGCCTTATTTATTGGTGACTATTGTTTATTATATGGACACTAGAGGCCCAGTGCATGAAATTCGTACATGGGTAGGGTCCCTAGGCCTGGCTGGCAATCAGGGCCGATCAGGGCCTTCCAACTGCCAGCGGGGCCTTCCTTTGTTCCGCCCCGCCCCGCCCCCTGGTGGTCAGCACACATCATAGCAAGTGATCAAATTCCCGGCCTCCTGGTCGCACTCCCAAGGGGACACTTTGCATACTAGCCTTTTATATATATAGATAATATAATGTATATTATAAACCACAATTTGTATATCCATTTACCTGCTAA